AGGCAATCCATCTACGTCCTGAGGACCTCGCTGCCACCGTCCAAGCGTGCTTGGCCCCGGCAGATGAACCTCAGGATTAAAGGGTGGGCTCAGTTCCGTGCACACTGTGTCTCACCTAAAAAATCCAATGCGCAGGCTGGAAGGTGGAAAGACCTTCCCCGGTTCTTCGTTCGCGAAGAGACTGGCCATCATCATGGTAATGCAGGTGGCACAGCCAACCTGAGTGTATTAAGGGTAGATATCACAAGGTCAGAAGTGCCAGTTGTACTAATTAGTACAATCCTGACTAAGAACAGCTACAAGACTTTCTTTTTAATGAGCACAAGGATTATGGGAATTTGGATAGAACAATAATCTATTTTTATATGGTATTTTGTAAGCTCACAAGGTGAATCAGGAATAAGCTGCATAGTAAGACAGGCCAGAGCTGTAGCTAAGTTATCAAAACTGCAGGAAAAAGAAGTTCCTCACTTACAGCACTGCATGGAACTCTCCAGGTTATGGCAGTAACCCTTGCTTGGTATTGAAGGTATGTGTGAGACATACGGTGACAAGGTAATGTACAAGTGTGGAATCCACCTAGGAAATTAGTATGACAAGACTTTTTATTTCTTTTTTTTTAACACTTCAGTGTTTACAAGGCAGGAGGGAAACAAAATATATTTTGCTAATGGTTAATTATACTTATTTCTTCTAATTGCTGCATCATTTTCTATTGAAGGTTAAGAAAGCTAAAACTCTTAAAAAGTAACAGCAAAAAGGAGCTGTATTAAAATGCAGCTTTTGAACAAATCAGTCTTTCTCTATGTTACAATCTGACAAATGGGGTTTAAGCTTAATGTTTTAACTTCATCAGGGATTCTTTGAAGACATTTTGTGGTTGTAAGGAATGAGATTCCCTGCCTGTAAGTTGGTCAATTAGTTGTCATTACTGTCTGTGGCACTGGATTAGAGAATGCCCCAAGGCAGCACCACCATGTAGCAGTTTCACAGGCTACAGGCTGAAAGTGAACCAGAACAAACTCCAGCAATAAGGCTCCTTTGCCTAAACCTGACAACTGAATAAGCTACAACTGAGAATCCACTTCTGGTTTTGTAATGTGTCCTGTCATGATTAGGCTTGCATTGATTTTTAATTGTGATTTGTATAAAAATAATTAAAAATTAAATAATTTTAAAGTATTGAGCCTTTGTGAAGGGACTAAATGTTGTTAATCTAAAATGCTTTATTGAGCACCCCAGTCTTTCAGAATCAGGATACAGGATAGTACATAGACTTTCTTCCTAGAATGCATGGGGTATTTCAATTTTTTAAAAAGGGAAAATGTAAACAAACCCTCGCCATGTTTCTTTGAAATGGGAACCTATGTTTTTAGGTCACTGCTGTCAGTATATGCCTCGAAGGTGAAGCTGAGTGTCAGTTCCTCCAGGCCTGGTCCCGTGATGATGTTACTTAGGGCTAAATTAATGAGGTACTTGCAGGAGCCTTGGGCAGGTGTTTCCATAAGGAGTGGGAGTGGACTTACGTGCTTATGTAAAATATATGTTCTCTGTATGGAAAAGCTCCACACTGAGATTTGCTTACTCTCTTTCCTGCCTCGTGTGCTGACTGCTGGTAATTAAATCAAACATCAAAGATGGTGTCTCCTCTTTGCCAGGAAGACATTTGCATTGCTGAAAAGCTGGAGGCAGACAAAAGCAAATCAGTGGGAAAGTCACAACAACTTTTTACATCCTGAGAGATGGGAAAGGGGACATACAGCTTATAAAGGATCATTAAATCACATTCAGAAAGGGATGGGGATAGAAAGCCAGCTTGTTTCTTCCACCTGGGGTCTCTCTGTAAATACCACCTAGCCTGGAACTTGCAACCCACACCAGGTTAAGTGGGTAGGCCCAGCATCTACAGTTTGTCAGCTTAATACCTGCCTTTGAAAGTTTCCAGGATTTGGTTCAGAAAAGTAAAGTGTGACTGTTTCTCCTGTCCTTATAAACCTTTATAAATTTTTCCACATTTCACACCTTTTATCACTGTTTTTATCTCTACCTGAACAAAGTCACATATATTTTTAGGATGACTGGATCTCATGAGGGCACCCTCTCCTTGGGTAGGTGAGTCAAAAAACTGGTACACTCTGGTAGGTGTCTGTAATCCAGTACATTTTCTGGGGAGATGAAAAGATAATGAAGTGCTCCCCACTATGCTACATGAGCTGGTGGCATCATTTGCAAAACAAACATTGGTGTGGACAAAATATTTTCTGGTGATTAATCTTAGTTGGAAAACTAGGGTGAGTCCTGGTGTCCTGTAGGGATTTATAATCACAGTTGATTATTTAACCTTTTTTAGATATTACTGTTTCAGATAAGACATAGACCAGAATTTTTCCTATGTCAGAATGTGACATTGATGTCAGCAAAAGTTAACTTGAGTCTGATTTAAACTGTGCTGTTTCTAGTCAATTAAATCCCCATGGTACTGAAAACTGGATGATTTAACTTTTGGATTGCTATTTCATGCCCAGGATCCTGTTTTAGGTTGAAAACAAGAAGTTTAAGAGCATGTGGAAAAAACTGAAGTTTAATGTAAAGGATAAAATTATTGTTTCAGCTGTGCATAAGGCTTTAGGCTGCTCACTGGCTATTGTTTATTCTTTGCAGTCCAAAGAGTCGCCACAAACGTAATTGCACAGGCCATCCTGTCTTAACTTTGGGCAAAGCCCACCGTTTCCTTAAGATGATAAATCTCTGCTAAACACATCCCAAATGCAAAATCCTTCTGGAAATTATCTCCCACAGCTAGAGAGATAGGTGCTATTTCTCTCTTAATTTTCATTTCAAGGTTGGAGAACATTCCTTAAAGGGCATCCTGTAGCCACCAGCTGCACCTGGATTG